CCCCTAGACATCTCACCACCCCCTACTCCTCCCCCGACCTCATCACCTCCACCCCCCAGCACACAGCCCCCCTGCTCCAGCTTGTCCTTCACTACCTGTCAGGTGAGAGATCAGCTGAGGAGGATAAAGACGAGGAAGGCTGCAGGTCCAGACGGCATCAGCTTCAGGCTCCTGAAGTCCTGCGCAGACCAACTGCGTGGAATAGTTAAAACCATCTTCAACCTGAGCCTGAGGCTAGGGAGAGTACCACAGCTGTGGAAGACATCCTGCGTGGTCCCTGTGCCCAAGACTCCAACACCCCAAGGACTTCAGCAACTTCAGACCGGTGGCATTAACATCGCACCTCATGAAGACTCTGGAGCGCCTGGTCCTGTCTTGTCTCTGCCCCGCAGTAGGCCCTTCAATGGACCTGCTGCAGTTTGCCTACCAGCCTGGCATTGGGGTGGACGCTGCCGTCATCTTCCTCCTGCATAGAGCTCTTTCTCACCTGGAGAAGCCCGATAGCTCTGTGAGAATCATGTTCTTTGATTTCTCCAGCGCTTTCAACACCGTACAGCCTGCACTTCTGAGGAACAAACTGGAGCACAAAGGAGTGGCTAATCACCTCACATCCTGGATCTTGGACTACCTCACGGACCGGCCGCAGTATGTCAGGACCCAGGATTGTGTATTGGACTTGGTTGTCTGCAGTACGGGGGCCCCGCAGGGGACAGTGCTGGCACCGTTTGTCTTCACCCTCTACACTGCAGACTTTTCATACGACACCCCCACCTGTCATCTGCAGAAGTTCTCAGACGACTCTGTGAGCCACTGGTGGTGAATAAACAGGAAATAGCTCATAGCAGGAATTAGCAAGCAGCTAGTAGCAAGAGGGAAACAGACACAGTAAAGATGAGCAACTGAGGAGACAAGGAATTGTGCGCCCCTCCTTGCACTCGCAAACAAAGAGGCCTTTAACCGTCAGATGACAGGGACAGTGAAGAACGGTTCGATTTACCAGAGAATCGCCGGCTGACTACCGCCGCCTGACTAACCGCGGCTTCCCTCCCACGTCGCTGTTTACGTCACATGCTGAGCTACAGGTTTGCTTCTTGCTCATGCCCCCATTGCCCAGAAAAAGGCACATTCTGTATAAACAAAAGTAGGTAGGCGGCAATTTTCCTCCCTCCCCAATTTTGTTTTTATACTGCCAATGCTGAAAAAGACTGATTGGGCTTTCCTGCAAATTTGCACAATTCCTATCTAAAAAGGGCTAAAAGCTCTGGAGAGCTCCTTCAGTGATAGACTGCTTCACTCAAAGTGTTTGAAGGAACACTATCGCAGGTCCTTCCTGCCTGCTGCTGTCAGACTACATAACCAGCACTGATCACAATAAACTGCACCATGGACACTTTATGGACACTATAGACACTTTAAGCTTACTGTCCCCCCTTGTTGCTGTTTGCTGTTTTTTGCACATACAATCACTTGCACTAGATATGCTCTCTTTAATCCACTGCTCATTTTTATTCACTGCTCATTATTATCCACTTCTCATTATTATTATTATTATTATTATTATTATTATTATTTATCGCTGTTTCTTGTATTTTTGTACTTTATTTTGCATGCCTAGTTTTTAAGTTTTAAGTTTTTAAGTTTAAATTTTGAAATTTTTAATCTGATTCTTTCTCCTTGACTGCTGTAACACTGGAATTTGTGGGGTCAGTAAAGGTGTATCTTATCTTATCTTACTCATCTGTCCCTGCAGATAACAAGATATAAATGCCATGTATATCATTTTTTTGTGATTAAACAAATCTGTATTAATTCATCTCTATATAACAGGCTATATACACTCTAAAACAGAAATGTTTGTAAATAAGGACAGGATTATAACTCAATAAATTAGGTATAACTTACAATAGAAGTCCTTCTTTTGTTGTTTGTCGGCCAAGTTTTTTAGCCTATTTCACTGTGCGGACTTTGAGAAACACCCGGTGTCTCTGTCATTGCAGCTGGGGAATGACTGTTAACAGCGGTGTAGTGGCAATTTCTACCTTTATATAGACCAAATCAAAATGCTTTTTTACAATTACTTTCAGGTAGAAAACCCCCATGTCACATCCATAAAATCAAACGGTGCTGAGCAGATGCTGCCTCACTTGGTTAGTTTTAGCTACCTAAAAAAGGCCCACCCAAAAAATCCATATCAGGGCATTGGAATATTTTTCACTGCTTTGCCTGGCTGTCAGGTAGCCTTTTCCAGCAGGGAACTAAAGCCATTGTCTCAACACCACCAGACTTGAGAACATGGGAAGTGCTAGTCTAACACTGCCTCAGTCAGTTAGCTTGCAAGGTAAAGTGGTGAAAAAAATATTTCAAATAGAGCTTACAGTTAAACTTATTTAGATTTTTTTGAGAGGCTTAAATAGGTTTTTCTGGGGCCCTGTCCACAGCAGTACATTGTTTAGTGTCCATGCTAGTAGATTTGGTTCATCAAAGATGATAGCACGCAGCACATCTGTATTGTTTATATCAGTCTTGATCATTAGAACACCTGATTTTATATTTGAACAAATTGTTTTTCGAAATACTGTGCACGATCATAGCACTAGATGGTCCAGCAATGGTCAGTTGGTACTGCCTCGCCCAAGAACAAATGCTTTATCACGATCTTTTATTCATAGAGCAACAACTCTCTGGAATAATCTGCTTCAAATGTCTGCCTGTAAATGTTGACTTTGCTGTATGTAGAGTGTTCCGTGTTTTCAGAGAAAATGAATTGTCAGATTTACGAAAATTATCAAATGTTGCATGTTTTAATTATTTTTTATCATTAGGTATATTATAATTGTATTAAAATGTAAAATGAATGTGGTCTTTTGTTGATGATATGATAGGACCCCAGGAAGACTAGTTGGCTACTACGGTACCAGCTAATGGGGATCCTTAATAAACTAAACTAAACTAAACTAAACTAAACTAAACTAAACTAAACATAAAATAAGCACAACAGAAACATCAGATAGGTCAGACCACCATGTTTAACTATATCTTTAAGTAATACAGTCATGAATGAAAATGACAATAGAAATGAACAAGTTTGATGATTTCACATATTTCCACAACTGAAATCAATTGTCTATTCAGAAGTGTTCGTGCAACATTGCAGTGATTCAGTCTATAGTATAGTTATGACATCACAGCTTTCCAAAAAAATTTGACAACACATATAAAGGCACAGTTTCTGAAAACGGCCTGTGTGCATTTCTCTGTGGATTGGGCATTTTGATACTTTAACAGTATTTATAGTAGCACCTATATACCTGCTTCATTTAAATAAAATGGAAATCCGACTCTTTACAATATGGGACTTTTAAAGTGATGAACTGACTGTAATCATATTTTAAATTCTCTTCAACCAACACAAGACTTGGAACTCTCATGAGATCAGAGGCAGTTTCTCATCATTCAAACAGTGTCATCCAAGATAAAGTCTTATGGATAAGGCCAATCTCAATTCATATGAGTGATAAAATAATGTGCAGTGGCATTGTTAGGCCTGTGCACCTAAGGCTATTAGGGGTGGGACTCACCAGAGGCACCACAATAATATTCCAATATAATATTATATTATAATATATTATATTATAAACATATTGTGATATGCTGAGTATTGTGATAAAGATATTGTGATTTATTGCAATGTATTACCTTTTTTCAACTGCAAATCATTTCCCCAAAGGAAAACTTTGTCAACATCTGGATTATCATTGAAGCAAAATGTATTGTAGGCTAACAAAAGTTAAATTTGTATTTGTAATATTAAAAATTTATGTAATAAAAGAAACTGATACTTGAGTTCTGTGTAAGGACAATATATTGACACACAAAAATATTGCAGTACTATGCTGTATTGATTTTTTTCCCCGACAGTTAATCACTTTAATGTTGCAGCTGGTAAAGGTGGAACTGATTTTCAAAACTTAAAACTGTATACTGCTGGATTATTTAATCTATAATAATACATCATCATTCATAAATTAATTAGATTTTGTATTATTAATCAGTCTGAAGCAGAAAAATAAATGTAATGGAGTAAAAAGTACAATGTTTCCCTCTGAGATGTAGAGGAGTGCGAGCATAGAGCAGCATAAAATGGAAATACTCAAGTACAAGTACCTCAAAATTCTTTTAATTTTAATGATAGCAGTAAAAGTATTATGTTCTAATGACGTTTTGTTGCCATCGCAGAAGTCAGTGTCACCCTGGTGAAAAAGCCAGTGGGAATTTTCCATTGCATTCTGGGTGATTGCTGAAAATGAGCTCTGTGACAAACAAACCACTTTCATGATTTTTGAAGTGTAAATGCAATCACCAGAAGTAAGCAGCTTATGTTAGGCATAAATAAACTACACTGCGGTTGCATTACCTAATTTCACCATAACAAGACTGTAAAGCTGTCTTCGGCGCAGCTTTGCATGATGACTTTCTGTATGTCATTCACTGATGTATTTACATTGTAGAACAAAAACGTGAAAGTCTCTTAAGCTTGTGTTAACCACAGACCTTATTACAGGCATCTAACCAAAAACCCATTCAACAAACTCACTGACTTTAAGACATGGGAACAGATTGCAAGAGTGCTTATTCATTTCCAGGTTTTGAGACTCATTCCTGGGACACTCTATACTATTTACTGACAGCTACTAATATTTTTAACATCACAATTCATTATTAATCTAGAAAGTATAAAAACTGTTTCAAGTGTAAGACCCCCCCCACACACACACACACACTGAGGTCCGTGCTAAGTCCCCAGTGTCCTCAAGTCCTAGAAACGCCCCTGATGATGTGTACCTTAAATAAACGTTTCCAATTCTGATCACATTCCTCAAAGCCTAATGACTGCTGGTTCCGTGAAAACATCCACACGTCATAGTCTTTGGGAGGAGTTGGAGTGAGTGAATTAAGTTTTTTCAAAAACTCACTCACGTACACGCGCACACACAGTAGCTACTGTACTTGCTGAGTGGGCCAATAATACAAGGGGGATCATCAACGTTCCATTAAACATTCCTCTCGCGGGACTGTCCGGCCTGAGACATCGCGAAGTTTCCTGCTATTTTGTATTTTGGTGGCAGCAGGCAGCAAGCAGCAACCCGTTGAGGCAAGTCCAAGTAAGGTGGAGACTCCTACTTAACTTCCTGCACAATAATCTTGAAGCACTACTAAGTGAGAAGTGGGGACGCTGCTACTGCTGGGGCGAAGGACGAATGGATATACGGCTCACTTTATTTCTTTCTCGGCAGTGAATTGACAAAAAACACTTTGTTTTGATTCAGCACATCTACCTGGCTAGTAGCAAGCTAGCAGTAAGGCTGCTGAAGAGATTCCCAACGTTTGATTGCGAGGCGCTGCGAAGGACAGGAATGGGTGAGTTTTCCATGATGTGGCGCTTGTGTTGTGTTTATAATGTTAACTGCTCCTTCTTTCCGACTCATCATATAAAACAAGTCGAAAACACGGACGGCAGTAAACCAAATGTCAGTTACATAAATCATGCTATCAGCTTTCTCCAGCAGGGAATTTAAGTTAGCAAGCCAGTTAGCTAGCTGGTTAGCCTAGCCTAGCTAGCGGTGTGGTTAACTGGATAACGCCACCCCCACCGTTGGATTTGGCTGCATGTCTAGCTAATGTTAACAGGAGCTCCCTCAGATCTGATGTCAGCATGGCTTCTGCAAAACCACTTCATGCCCTGAAACCACTGAAACGTTAGTTCCTTGAAATTCCCAGTTTCCTCTTGTCTGGCTGTGCTGTGTAATCTGAATTTAAAACTGTTTGCAGTTTGTGTGCGGAAAGAACTTCACAGACAGGAAACTCCAGCCATTAAAGGTCCCATATTACTATTATTTTCAGGTTTATACTTTTATTTGGACTTTATAGTCAAACATGTTTTACATGCTTTAGTATTCAAAAAACACGTCATCTTTCTCATACTATCTGCCTCTGTCTGAAACGCCCTGTGCATGTGTGTCTTAAAGCCCTGTACCAATAAAGCCCAATCTGCTCTTGATTGGTCAGTGTTTCCAGGTCTTGCACATTTGCGCTTTTGGTATCTCTGCACTGTTAGTGCAGCTGGGGAATGACTATAACAGCACTGTAGCGGCAGTTCCTACCTTCTATATAGTATAGTTGTGACATCACAGCTCATTTAAGGGCACCATTTCTGAATTATGGATTGTGTGCATTTCTGTATGGATTGAACATTTTGATACTTTCACAGTATTTTTACAGCACCTATACCTTTCATAAGAGAATTGAAATCTGGCTCTTTAATATGGGGCCTTTAGTTAGCTCCTTCTGATAGTAGAGATTAACTTACTCTTTTGACATTTGCTTTAGGTGTTATGTAAGAAATATGTAAATTTTATTGTGCAAACAGTGTGTTGTGTCTTAGCTTATGTTCATTCTGTGACAGTGCATTACTGTAAGTTCCCACACCCAAATGCATCTAATACTTTGCTTGTCTCCACTTCACACCAGCCCATAATGGACCAAGCATCTGTTTGTTTTTAATAAGGACCCATGAACCCCACCCTATAACAGGGTATTAAAGCGGTACCTCACCTAAGTTAAGAATTCCAGTGTTATTTATATGGTCTAGGAAAGTTTAATCAATATTAATGAACATGAGCTACATTCTCTCAAAGCCAAAACCAGAGAAGGAAGTCTCAAACTTGTGATAGGGAATAAAGTCTGAAACTGCTCTATAGACAATGCATGGGAGACTGATTTTGTGGACCCACAGAATGTTGTTTTTGAAACAGAAAATGTACTGGCATACTCACAACATTCCCCTGGGTGCTCTCAGTAGCTCTTTTACATAGAAATAGAACAAAGTCCCTTCTTTATGCCTCCTTTTCATTTTTACACAGATCCAAACAATGGCGGCATCATGTCACTTCAGTGTGTGACTTTAGACTGCATGCTGGCATTGCGATATCAAAAGAGACGTGATGGGCATGACATGTAACACAACATCGTCTGCCTCTAGTGTGACATAACTTATGTGTTGGCAGCACTTTCTAGACAATAACAGTGGCATTACCGTGGCAATAACAATCGTGTACCGTCTCTGTTATGTGGTGACTCATCTTGTACTCTGCTTGGAGGATAAGAAGCTCCAGGACCTCATTGTTTTCCCAATTTTCGGAAATTTTCGGCCACTGTTCTTCCTCTTTGAGTTACTTGCTAACTGCTGTCAGCTGCTTTTTAAATCTCCTGCGGTTTGTTGCACACATAACACATTGTTAAAAATATCACATCCCTGCCACCCATAAGCCCATCCTGCTGGCTGTCCTATTTATACAGACATCGTTTTGGCACTACCTCTGATGTAGCCTTAAAGGTGAGACAACTCTGTCTCCCCATTCTGTGATTGTACCTTTTATACAGAATGGTGGGGTGGCGCCATTAAATCCCCACCTTGAAGAGGCAGTTTAAAAGGGACTAATGTCATCGTAACATCTCTTGCCATTCATTGTCAGTGAAGCAGCTCCACACTCAGTACCCTATGACATAACAAATTTGGGTTTTAGCACTTAGTTTTTGGATTTGGGAGAGAGTTCATGTTAAAGGGAAATTTCGGTTTATTTCAACCTGTCTCCTTTCGTCCTAAATTTGTTTCAAGTGACTAGTGACATAAAAATAATAGTTAGCATGTTAGCCGTTAGCCTAGATACAGCCGGGGCGCATAGTAGCGTCAGACCTATTAAAACGTAAGTGAAAGGGCATACTTCAAGTGCAAAGTTAGTCCACTAAACAAGCTTTTTTCTCACAAAGACCGCCTCATATTAGGATAAATGTCAGAGAACATATAGAAAATGACATGTAAACGTGTTGTCTTACCTTACTGGTGTGGTGCCATGTTTGTTTACCATTTAGCTCTGCTTTGCAAAGCGCAGCCGAAATATCGCGAGAACAAGCAGCGATCTCATACCGTGCCTGAAATCTCGCGAGAACAAGCAGCAACAGCTGGAAGGCAGAACCAGACAGTAGCCTGAAAAGTCCATTCATTTATTTTACCAAAGATTTATAGAATTATGTCTGACTTTTTGCCAGACTTCGACTTTGTGGAGGAGGAATTTGATTTTGCAGAGTTTGATGGCTGCCCTTATTTATTTGAGCCAGAATACACTGAGGAAGAGCTTCGTGAAATTGAAGAAGAGAGGAGGAGGAGAGAGAGAGGCGCAACAGGTAGAGGACAAGAGAGGAGGAATGGCTGTTGCAAGGCTGCGTAGCTCTGGAGATTGGTGGTGTACCTGTGAATGCTGTGCCACAGTGCCCACAGAAGAGGAATGCCTCTGTTGCAAGGAATGGGACCGGTTGCAGCCTTATTTTCAAGGTCTGGATGTGACCGAGGACAAGACACCTCCACCTGCTGTAGTATCCAGCTGGGCTTTATCGCGAGATTTCAGGCACTGTATGAGATCGCTGCTTGTTCTCGCGATATTTCGGTCGTGCTTTGGAAGAGCTAAATGGTAAACAAACATGGCACCACACCGGTAAGGTAAGACAACATGTTTACATGTCATTTTCTATATGTTCTCTGACATTTTACCTAACGATATGAGGCGGTCTTTGTGGAAAAAAAGCTTGTTTAGTGGACTAACTTTGCACTTGAAGTGTGCCCTTTCACTTACGTTTTAACAGGTCTGACGCTACTATGCGCCCCGGTTGTATCTCGGCTAACGGCTAACATGCTAACTATTATTATTACTACTATTATTTTTATGTCACTAGTCAATTGAAACAAATTTAGGACGATAGGAGGCAGGTTGAAATAAACCGAAATTTCCCTTTAAGTAATTGTTTTGGACTGTCTTAGACCATAGGAATACCATGTATGAATTTTGAAAATGGTCATAGTTGCCCTTTAAATTGACCTGATTGTCAAGGTGATGGATTCAAGCTCTCACCAGGCTGACAACATCATATAATCAGGGCAATTCACTGCCAAACATGAAAACCAACTATGGCTGCTATATTTGATGATATGCACAGCTTTAAAAACAGAAGTAAGGAGTGTATGATTCTTGTTTCAGTTTTGTCAGAGAGCTGTTGCTGTGATGGCCATGCTGACTGAATGTAGAGGAAACACTCTGATAGTTGTCTGTAAGTTGCAGGCATGTACTGTATTTTGAAACCTTCTTACTGCATCTTGCTAGATGTGCTGCCTGTGGTTTGTGTGGTTGTGTGCAGTAGGACTTGTTCAAGAACTTTGCTATGTTGTAAAACAGGTTTTAGGCCAAACCTTGCTTAGCTTTCAGATGTGTCCGGTCGCAGACTTTGCTTTTGACATTCAGAGTCAGTGAAAACAAAACTGTTATGCATGAACTGTTGCTGACACTTAGCATTAAATCCTACAGTGATACACCACAGTGAGGATGTATGTGACAAATGAAAGTAATACTGCACTTATTAGAAATGAGAAAAAAAAACGTCGCAGAACTTTATCAAACAAGCTGGGGAGTTCTAAAAACCCTGCCTTCTGTCCGATTCATTAAAATATCTGATAGTCATTCTCAATGAGGTCAACCAAAACAGACTTCTTCATTAGTGTCCACTTTTAACACCCATATAATGCATTGCACTCATCTTTGGTATGCCTTTCCTCAAGTGGCTTCTCTCTCAGAATATCTAAGCTGTGTTTGAACATGTCTGAGCTGTGTGTATGTGAGAGAGCCCCTCACATTCTGTGTTTGATTTCTGTGAACTTAGCTTAGGCTACATGGGTGCTGCTTTATCCACTAAAACCCACAAACTGGAATTTGGTTTTGTGCATTTAGTGGTTGAAATACCAATGCTTGTCTGGTCTTCTCTCACCTTTCAGCTAGCAGCCATTCTTCAATCTTGTTTTGTATTTTTTGAGAATTTTTTTCCTGTATTTTGATAGTGGATAGTACAGAGGAGCAAGGAAATGAGGGGAGAGAGAGAGCAGGAATGTCATGTAACAAAGGTCCCCAGAGAGACAAGAACTGGGGACATTGTGATTACATGGACAACTTCTTAAACCCCAGGCTGACGGGAATATTAACCCTACTGACCTCAACCAAAGATTTACCAGCACAGTGTTTCCCCTAGGTTTACAACAACTGAACAATTATTTGAACTGTACATTGAACTAAACATCAGAACATTTCTTCTTCACCATCTTCACCACCCTGGGAGCGCAGATATTTTTGTCTTCTTTTCACGTTGTTGACATATTTTCCGACGCGCGCTCTCTGTTCGCTTTTGTGTGTGTGTGTGTGTGTGTGAGGGGTGAAACGTGAAATGTATCAGCGAACACACACACAGTGCATTCACTGCGTGCTTGATACGTGTACATTGCGTGTGCAACCATCACCGTGTACTTGCTTCGCGTGCACTGC